CTTGGAGTCGAGCCACTGCTCCTCCACATTGAGAGGAAGCAGTTGAGGTTGCTCGGGCACCTGTTTAGGATGCCCCCCCGGATGCCTCCCTGGAGAGGTATTCTGGGCATGTCCCTTCGGGAGAAGGCCTCGGGGCAGACACAGGACACGTTGGAGAGACTATGTCTCCCTGCTGACCTGGGAACGTCTTGGGGTTCCTCCTGAGGAGCTAGAGGAGGTGTGTGGGGAGAGGGAAGTCTGCGAGTCTCTGCAACGACTACTGCCCCCACGACCCGGTCTCGGATAAAGCGGACGAAGATGGATGGATGGATGGAACACTCACGGTGAATTGTTGTGTAATGTCAAACACTCGTAATGTTTGTGTGCCTATATGTGCGGCTTTAACCATGATGACTTAAAAGTGTAAAACCACTAAAATCATAAGAATGTCAATAACATCCAAATTGACTCAATAAAGACAGTATTAAACCTTTTCAGCAGTTTTACATAGAAGTTTAAAAAAGGTAAAGCACATGTTAGAAATTTACCCAAATTCTTTTGTTGGAAGCACGAGAAGTGATGACAGGAGAGGACTGTTTAAAATCAGCAGAAAGTTTACTGAATGTCTGATCACAGGTAGGCCTTACAGTGCTGGGATCAGAGACAGAGCTCCCGCAGGAGTTCCATCCACTGACCCCGAATTAAGGTCTTGCAATACATTTTATCTTCTTGGGCTGCTCTGCCCTAAACAAAGGTACAACAATTCATGCATTGTAATCCTATTGGTCATTTGGTGTGAGCAGGAGCTCACACCTCCTTGCTGGAATGTGATCTACACCAGGTGTGTGTGATACTAATTTGTATGTTAAACTGGCCTGGTGGTCATCTCAGGTTGTGGGCCCCCGGCCTCTGCAGGACATCCCAAGATACGGCAGAACTTGGAATATGCTAAGTGGGTCTAGGTGTGGGTGCAAAACAAGCCTTTGCTAAAATGTAAATAGGCTATCTGGTCACAAAGAGATGCAGACATCTAGTCT